ATGGCTTTTCACATGACACTCAGAGCGACTGCAGGCCACACCCAAAGCACACAGAGTCAAAATGTTGTAATGTATAATACAACTTTATGTTTTTATATGGACATATTTGATTTATGCATTAAGCATCCGATCCAAGGAATTTACTCTTTTACTGCACCCTAACTTCTTTCCCAATTGTTAAAATTTACATCAACCAGTGCAAGCCATACTGTTCATTATTATCATACTCTGTATATTATATTTACAGATTATAATTTTTAAGCTTTTACATGATCAGTATCTTATATTATCTACATAATATCACAGTAGAATATTCACATATTTAGAAATAAAGAGTCAAAGGGTGGTTCAAAGGACAATTTTCATGGACACATTCAGGAAGTGCCACTCATAGTTCACTCTTTATCACTCAGTGTCTGGCTGGTGTCCTGATGTCCCAGAGACGAATCCTCCCTTCTCTTGAGCTCTGATCAAATGTCGACACAGCGGGCAGGTGCCGAACTGCTGGAGGACCTTAGGGGTGCAGAGCTTGCACAGACACCGGTGACCACAGGGCAGGGTGATCCTGGCCTCGCTTCCCAAGCACACCACACAGTATTCATCTGTGATCACAATAGGGAAATCATCAATACAAGTCTGGCTGCTTCAGCTCAAACACGATCACAGACAGAAACACTGGACTCAAAGAGTGTTTGGACGGGAGCAGTCTTACCTGTTAAGATGTCCTTGTCAAGACAGGTGATGTATTCATTTCTGCAGAGGGTGAAGACGTCAGATATCAAACGGCTGTCAACATCAGGCGAGGTGGGGGGTTCGGGTGCAGGACAAGATCTGGAAGTGGAAATCAGCTTCTTCTTCTCTGAGCCTGCAGCAAAGAGCAAGAGAGACAATATATCACCATTTCTATCAAATTCATCCAAACTATACCCTGTCAGCAAATAGATACCAAGAGAAAGGTCGTGGTACTGTGATGGTAAACTTACCCAGGAGTAAAATGGAGCATGTCTGTCCGTAGATGTCTATCATGGCCCACAGTGGCAGCCTCAGGTCCACTCCTGTCAGCAGTTTGTGTGGCTTGCTGTTGTTGCTTGTGACATATATGCTGCCGCCACACGAAACCCAGAACTCAATTTCTGAGCCCTCCTGACAGCAGTTCTCGGGTATGGGAGCAGCCCAGTGGCCGGGGCTGTCGCTGAGGTTGGGAATGGCCATCATAGGCAGTGGCAGGGTTCTGTCTGAGGGCGACACGTTTGTGAAGCCCACACGCAGAGCCCCGTGCCACGAGATCAAATCTTTCTCCACCCTCAAACGAATCTTCTCCAGGACCTTCATTGGGCGGCTGCTGAACACCAGACCGTTTTTGAAAGTGCTCCCGGTCCTCTCTGCGCGTCGACCCCCACAGCTCAGGCGGACCATCTGTCCCACTGCATGACTGTGGAAGGTCAAAGGGCCGAGGCAGAACACGCCGCACCTGTGTGACGTCTGTGATGCATCACCTGCAAAAAAGTTAAGAATGGGTTCAGAGTGTATTTTGGACAATAACAATTAAATACTGGACAGTGATCCTCTTAAAATGCATTACTTTCTTTTTATTGTTTAATGACAAGTTATTAAACCAAACACAGCTTCGAAATTGCCCATATCTTTTTGATAACAATGCACACAGCAATAAAACGTGTTGTTTTATTGCTGTGTGTCACTCTGAAAGTAGCTTATGCTTTTATTTCCTGCCTCATAAATCAGGTAGAAAAAAAGAGTGAGTCATGTATCTTCGTTCATCTCACAGGCTTGACTCACACATTTGCAGTAATACATTTTGTTATACCTGAAAAACTTTCCCAGAACCACACATAGGTTAACTCCTCAGTGAATGCTGCATGTTTACAGTCACTTCCTGTAGTTTATTGTTATGTCTTCCCCCTCATTTGTCATTACCTGTTTTGCAGCAATTTTACAACTGATGGGAAAAGACCTGAGTTTAACTTATGTTTTCTCATATCATCAAATTATTAACAATGATCTCTGTCTCAAATGGCAT